ATGCGAGGGAAAGCTGAGAAGTTCAGCAGACCATTGAGTCAAGTTAGTTTAGTAAGGCATGAATGAGTAACTAGGCATTATGTGAGATCCGAGCATTTATGTGCTGAAAACAGATAACAAGTCCGATGTAGTTACTAAACCATGTGAACAATCAAGGCATTTGTCTAATAGTACATTTGCTCCGTCAGTTCCTTTCCTCATTTTTCCACTGCTTTTCATATAATTGTGTCACTGGCATAATGAGGAAGACAATTGGTGTCCGATCTATTTGATGACAAATTGCTCCTACTCATTCTAAATGTCAAAATCGGCAGCATATATGTTTTTTTGGAAAGATTCATCTTACAGCAGTGTTCTCCTTGTTATATAATCTACGTGATATAGACAGTAGTAGGTTTGCTTTTTGTGAGATTCCCTCATGATTTTATCAAATTTGGCATTAGATTGAAATATGATGAACAAATGAAGAGCCATTGGTCCGTGTTTCTCCAAGTGCCGCAACCGACCACGATGGCAGGTAGTACAACATTGAGATCAATGATGCACCATACTAGCGAGATAGTTGGATGGAATCGCTAGAATCAACGGTGCTGCACTCCTTTCAAGAGAACCCAGGAACCAGTATACCGATAGGAATTGTTCTCGACGTTACCATGTCATTCCTAGGCAATTAAAACAACAAACACAAGAGGACGCAATAAAAGGGTAGAAGCATGGATCTATTGATGCAAACTATGTTGACAGAAGAAACAAATATGGAAATGGCTACATATAAGTCGCCTGACTTTTATATTTGGGTCAGTGGACCGTTTCAGACCGTTGGATGAAGATCCTACGGTGCCTAACCCTTCTTCTTCCTCACCTCTTCCTCGGCAGACCGCCGCACGGGCCGCTGGCCCCCCACCACCCACGGCCGGTGGCACTCCCACGACCGCCTCGCCACCCTGCCCTCCCCTGAACCACCACCCACCGCCAGTCTTCCGTAGCCCCGGCCATCCCTCTAGCCCCTCCTCCACGTCGAGTTTTTTCTCCGACGAAGCACCACCACCGCCGTCCTTCCTGAACCCTAAGATAGATAATAGGGGTGATGACGGTGAGCCCCTTCCTTCTCTTTCCTCCCCTCCGGCCTTCCTCAGGCTAATTTCTTCGGTAATTTCAAAATCGACTGATCCATTAGCTAAAGTCAGTCGATTGACGTTTAGCTAATGTGAACATATATATACTGCTTAGGAAGCATGGATATATGGAAGGATCAATTTTATGACATGCTTTATGATGTTTAGGGGTGAATTGAAAATTAAGGATAACTGGGTAAATAGTCTGAAACACGGGATGCTGTCAAATATAATGGCAAAAGATGAATATGAATTAACAAAATAGAAGTACATCATGCAAGCAGGGCATTACAATTAGTACCTGATTTGGCAAAATAGATGTGCCCCATAGGTAATGTGAAAAATTGACTGGAATCTTGAGCAACATATATGATAAATGTAGGAAGTACGAGGGCATTGTTTAAATTACAGTGACAATGAAAATGAAAAGAAGAAAGTCTCTATGGTGGCAAATAATTTAGACCGAAGAAGCACATAGTATACCTCAGAAGCATGAAAATTGTGTTATCTCAACATTACTAATCTTAAATGGACACAAATTTGAAATGGAAATTCACAACTATGGCCGCCAACATGTGGCTGCATATTTGTGTGATCTACATACTAATTACATTGAAATTCATTGATGATTTTGAAACATTATTATTGTTAGGTGGAAGCATGAAATTCTTAAATATGAAACAAACTTTTTTTGCCACCAACTCAAGATACATATTTTTGGAATCTCTGTATACAGGAAGCAATGAAAGAACATTTTCCTGAACATTCACCATATTCATTGGAAGCACAAAAGAGTGACACCTCTGAAATAGTTCGAGGACCTAGGATTCACTTCACTCATATGAAACCACTAGGTACGATTTATGTGCATATAGCTATGGGTGATCGAATTATGTAATAACTTCATCAACAGATGAATGACCTGACATATGAATTCTAGGCGGGCAATGAACGTTAATCACAATCAATAATTGGCTGCTGGATGAATTAGAAACAATATTGCATTGCAAAAATAATGGGCTCATAGCGCAGTGGTGGTGGCGCTGTGCTTTCACCTAGCCGACCTGAGTTTCAACCCCTCTTAGGTCCAACTATGTGTCTCACATTCTCTCTTTAAATAATGTCGTGGGGTTCCTCCACCGTTGGTATAATTTGGAGGATGGGGTGCCCGGGCTGCTTGACGAAGGAGGAATACGCGAGGGAAGGTGGGCTGGCCGGTGAGCTGGCTGTGCTGCTAGACGAAGAGAGGAGAGAAGGAGGAGCAGGGCGGAGCCGGGTGGAAAGAGGATCCATTGAGGCAAGGCGAGCGAGCTAGGTGCGCTCAAGGTGGAGGAAGAGCTCCACACGTACATATGGACGTTGCGGGAGTCAGCTCCCTGCTGATTGATTTCTTTATTATTTCCTTATTTCCAAAAGAACGACGACTCTCGAGCGTTGGGTTTCAATTAGATTGAAAGTGCGTTATATCGACTAGAGGGCGGTGAATAGCAAATTTTTATGAATTCTTCACTGAGGAATTTGCTGGTGAGGAAATTCCTTAGCGAATAACTACTTGCAGCGGAATAAGTACTCAGAAGTAAACATAACAGAACACTAGCATAGTCATGATGAAATAAAGACAAGCACAGAGTACAGAAAGCGTAAACACAGGATAAAGTCAGACGGACTGAAGAAATTGAACTGAGGAAATTGAGAAAGTCTTCAGTCAAAAGTCTTTAAACAGATATGAACAGGCACACAACAACTGAAATGAGGAAATGAAAGAGTTGAGAAAATAGAACCAGTAAGCTTGGTGAAGACAATGATTTGGTAGACCAGTTCCAACTGATGTCTCAGTTGTACGTCTGGTTGGAGCGGCTAGGTATTTAAACCTGAGGACAGACAGTCCTGGACACACAATCCTCACCCGTATTCTCTTTGATCTAAGGTCACACAGACCTCTCCCAATCACTCGTGGTAAGTCTTCAGGTGACTTTCAAACCTTCGCAGACTCGGTCACTCGGCGATCCACAATTCCTCTTGGATGCTCTAGACCATGACGCCTAACCGCCTGGAAGAAACACAGTCTTCAAAGGTAACAAGCGTCGGATCCACGCAGGATCAATCTCTTCAGTGATGCTCAATCACTTTGGGTTTGAAGGTGTTTGGATTTGGGTTTTCCTCACTTGATGATTTTTGCTCAAAGTCCTTGGAGGATGGGATGCTCTCAAATGACAAATGTCAGTTTCTCTCGGAGCAGCCAACCAGCTAGTGGTTGTAGGGGGCGACTATTTATAGCCTAGGGAACAGCCCGACATGATAAGACATAAATGCGCTTCAATGATATGACTGTTAGG